TGTAATATTTAATTTTTCACGATTGATTAATATATAGGTAATTTTTTTAATTGTTCTATTCACAAAAATATAGCAATATTATAGTCAATAAATTATATCATATTACATTATATTTTTATTTTATTTTTCATAAACCATACGTATATTATATTTTATAAACAACAGTGTTACCTATGTCCTATATTAAGTGTTATAAAATATTCATGAAATTAACTATAATTATAATATTTAACTACCTATATTTCTCTATTGTTTTATTACCTAACAAAATAATTAATTGATTAACTTAAACATACCTTCAACGGCTTAAATTTTACATACATTTTTTTCTTATTATTTATTTTTACATGACGATTGATCATGACATCGACTGTTCCATTGCATATTATTTTTAAAACAAGTACACCTACTTGATTGGCAAGGATTTTTTGCCTTACACGAACAAGACAAAAATCCTTGCCCTCCTGAAATTTTTTTAATCATTTCTCTCACCTAAAATTCAACATTTTTATCAACTTGATCAGTAGTGAGAAATTGAGTTGTTGATTTTTTCAAACATTCACTACTGAACCATCCTTTGAGTAAACCATATTTTGTTCAAAGTTTATGTAATCCTTTTTTTTTTGTTTCGTGATCACGCAAATTATGTTTGGGGGATCTGTAGGTTAGGTTATAATTATAGTTAATTTCATGAATATTTTAAAACACTTAATATAGGACATAGGTAACACTGTTGCTTATAAAATATAATATACATATGGTTTATGAAAAATAAAATAAAAATATAATGTAATATGATATAATTTATTGACTATAATATTGCTATATTTTTGTGTATATAGAACAATTAAAAAAATTACCCATGTATTAATCAATCGTGAAAAATTAAATATAATATACGTATAAATGTATAATGATAGTTTATGAACCATTATATAATAAAATAATAATTACACAAAGTACACGATATAGGTATTGTCCATTTCATGAAATGGATGTCCATAATTCCATATAATGTATTTTCGTCAAAATTCACTATCTGGACGAATTTCACAATCTGAATATCCAGTTCATGAAATGAGTAGTTTCACCATGTGGATGCGACATATACATAATATCGAAGAAGTTACATATGAAATGCAGAAGGAAACTAGGATTTTTAGCGCCTAGATAAAGGCCAATCATAGGGCGGAGAGACTGAAATACCCTTTCAACGATTATTTTCTAATAATAATCATAATTAATCAGCACAATTAAAATATGTATTTATTCAAACATTTAGTGATCATTGTCGAATATATTGGTTACAACATAAAATGAAATATTTTCGATTTCGTATCAACTACTATATGGGTATAAGTTTTAAAAATTTAAATTCCAATTATATTAAGACGCCGTGTGTGGTTTTATTTTAAAGTGAGACTATCGCCTTTTTAACATTTTTGTAAACATCACGAGTACTTAAATAGCAAAAAAAAAAACAGTTGAATTTCTAAGTAATTATGTGTGCATATAATATTATATGTTTAGACGTTGATTGATACTTTAATCGAATGTCAATACGTCATAAAAGTTACTGTGAATCAGAAATGTTGACGAAAACACAGCCTGCTTTTGCTTGCAACATCAACAATAATATCAAAGTGTGTCTTTATGTGAGTTTATGCACACACGTTAAACGACTAAGCAGGCGCACGTGGCCCGCGGTGTCAACTGACACGGCGTAGTCTGTCTCTTATTTCTAGGGCTGTGAATTTAATGCACTAAAGAACCTTAACAAATGCATTCAAAATGTCGAGAAAATGCAATAAAATATGCACTTAAAATGCAAAAAAATGCCAAAAATTATAGCACACAAATCATTTAAAATGGTTTTTAATTTAATTGTTATATTAATATTGATATTAGGTATAGGATATTATACATAAGTACATAACACGCATAAAAAAGTGTTTATTTAATAAAAAAAAAAATAAAAATAAAAATGTTGATTGAATTTCAATTGTCTATACTTAATGCTATTCACCTGACACATTTTTTAAGAACTTTAGAAATAAATAACTTACAAATAACTTATGTAGTTATCTAGCAATAAATTGCCTTATTTTATCGACGTATGTACAGCCTGTGTATAAAAACAATTTTTTTTTCAAAAATTGTTCAGTCAATTGACGGAATTTGATTAAAAATACTGGAAAATGAACTAAAAAAGAAAAGATGACCTATATATTAGCACAAAAATGACCTAAACAATAAAAAATGTCAACAAATGCGAAATAAAAGTTGCATTAATGGATTCGTAGGTACATAATTCAAATTATGTACTTACAGAGCTACGTTTTACAATTACCAAAAAAAAAATGAGCTTTCCTACATATTCACAGCCCTACTTATTACGAATTTATGAAGGCGTTAAAGGCGGTTAATGCCCGTACTCATTTGATATTTTTGTCGGCCATTCTGCAGTAACGTTATGTTTATTACGTGGCGTAGTTGGTATTTATTTTTCGTGATTTTTATAATATTTTATTTACAATTTGATACTCGATTCACAATTTATTTATCACAGGGCACAAACGACATACGTCGTACAAAGTAAATGACAAAAGACAAAAGATTACATTCATGATTTATCATTGTGGTATAGTTTGTACTATTTTCGCTACGCTGTGTACTAGTTAATGATGACGATTATTATTTCATGCTGTACTTATATGATGAATATGTTTCTTTTTCTTTCCTTCGAATTATGTGAAGTAAAAAAAGTATTCTATAACTTCTAACACTAAACACGATAAAGACTAACCATGGTTTTTAATAGAAACAGATATTAATGTAAAATAGAAATAAGAAAAATTATTAATTAATTATAGACTTCCTAATCTCACCACAAGCATCGCTCATAGAGATTAGGTATCAATACAAATTGTATCATACCGAAAATTGTTGTAATTTTATTATTATTGTTGTTGATAAAATAAATAAATAAATAAATAAATGGTTCAAATACCAAATGTTAAAATATTGTGTTTGCAAGTATTATTGGAGCCGTCGATATTGTATCAAAATATTATTTGGTTAGGGGGCACCATCATCATAAATTATTTAACTATTACACAAACTTATTCAGCCCACAGAAAGTTATTAAATATGTATGTTCCTTTGAATATTATTCTCCCCTTATTTCCAACGTGTAGCGACCACTGAACTAAGTAATAGTGTTGGTTCAACCAGGCCCAACCAGGAGAAAAAAAATGTATTGGTCAATATAAATATTCTGACCAAAATATCCATTAATTTTAGTTTTTCTTAAATTTAATTTACTCCGACATGGACACCCACCCACTTCAAAATCTCTTTAAAGGCATAGCGATCGCTACTCTTGGTATATAGGCTGAGCCGCTGGACTACTTTACCTATACATATATAAAATAATAAATATTTTTTATAACTATATAAAGGTACTTATCTGGATTTTCAGACTACTATATACTTGGAAAAGTTGCATGGAATTTTAAAAACTAAGAGTACTCGGTAGTAATAGTCAATAAGATCTCAAAAAGGTATCTTCGTATCGACAATTAAAATGAACATTCTGAATCGTATAGTTCTACCAACATACGACGTTGGTGGCGGAGCCGGATGTGAAGGCTCCACCCCAAATCTCGTAATTTTTAAAATAATAATTAAATATCTTGGACTCGTACCACTATCATAGATCAAGATAGACTATCGGACTTATCAATTATCCACATTGAAAGATATATGCGTATAGTAAGTTAGTCCTTAATATTGAAACTGTTAAAAATAAATAGACCATTGATTATTCGAAATGTGTGTTGTAGTATATAATACAATATTTTATATTACGCAGTTACGCAACCGTCTTCCAATTTTTGGGAAGAGAATTCTGTATAATTATTTTTTGTTTATTTTTAGTTGTTGTTCGCCTTTATTTCTACAAGCTAGCCAAGCATTCGTTGTCTCCGTACGCCGTAGTCTTACACTATAGTATATACGACATGGCAAATTCTCGTTCACCATTTTAAAAAGTGTGCTGTTAGTTGTCATGTACCCGAGTGAATTGACCTATTATACAATTTAAATGTAAGATTATTATCTAGGGCCCCACTTAGACATTTATCGATATTATTATTTTGAAGTCAGCCAGCATGATAATTTTAAAATGTGCAGTTTCAAAAATGGTGACGTCTTCTTGCCGTACTAGGTTGTCATTGTGACCAGAAAGCGAAGAATGCGAAAAATGATTCTATTTTTATACCTTCTTTAACACTCTTGTATAATGAAACCATAAGAATCTAATATATTTTACTATAGTAAGACTAAAACATTGTTACTATAAATAACGATTTAGGCATACTATTTAGGTTAATAGCTGCGATACTTAAATAAAAATAATCAAGCAAATTAATTAACCACGGCTTAGTTGAATAGGTTGGCAAAAAAAAAATGGTTTTGGATATGCATTTATCTGTCTGATATTTAACTATTGCATCAAATATATATTATATTTAAGCTACAAAATAAAAAAAATGAAACACAGAAACTTAACTTTCAAAGAATAAAACAAAACTGGCCTGCATCATTTTTCAAATGCATAGGTACCTACACAATAATTAATAAATAGATAGATTAATTTTTCGGCATTTTTCTTTACAGGATAACACTAATAATTCATTCATACACAACATTTTAAATGGGTATGCCCTAAAAAACACTAGTGGTACTTCTTAATATTATCATTGCTCGACTATTGAATGTTAACACAATATTCGGCAGTCGACAACTATCAGGCCGAGTTCGATTTTACTATTTCAATTCCCAACAAAATTTAATAATATTCATTCAAGTAGTCATACTTCTGTCGCGTGTACTGACACACACACGTATTTTTTAGGTAGGTATAGGTATCTAAACGACGAAATAACAAAACCATATTAAGTATATAATAAGCATTTATAATATTATATAGTGGTGAATTAATTATTAAAATACAGCTTCGAAACGACGGTATAAGTACACACAAATTGTTACATTAAAATCGTGTTCAATAAGAGTAATTATAACCGTTATGTTATTATAAAAATAAGCGTTAAGCAATCGATACAGGTTTCCTGAAATAATTATTATCGAGATTGACCGTGAGACGGATAAAACATATAAAAATATGAATTTGATGCACAAAATAATAATTCACACACATTTAGTGTCAACATTAAAATATTTAATATGCTTTTACAGTGTAAACGAGTACAATATTATGAGCTTTCGAAGAGCTCGCGATTTTATGTAGTTTTAAAGCTAATACGCCACCCTCGGACGTAATAATATCATAATAATAAAAAAAAAAGACGCCACACGCCCATTCGGCCGAGAATCGTTTGCAAAAACCGTTGTGACACTGAAGACGATATTTTCTTCGTGCCAGTTTTTTTGTCGTCCGTTTTTTTCGTCCACTCGGTCACGAAAAAAGTTGTTTACAAGTTAAAAAAAAAATACATACAAACACTTAGATATTTTTTGTAAAATAGTTACAACTCTTTTCGTACGCACATGGAAAAAAGCGGCGTTTTTCAAAAATTATTTAAAATTTGGATACTACTCTCTAGTGCTGACCTACTTCTGCTTGAAGTAGATTGAAAAGTCGAATGGTTTTTTTTTTCGCGTAATCGCTACGACTTGCGGATTTGGCGGCTGATTATGTAACGGGTTTTGTATACCTACCAATATGTTCTATAGGTATTACATAGTACCTAGGTATAATAAGCTGAGATTTAGTTTCTCGACTGTTTTTGACGAACAAACGCATTAACTGTATGGACGTGTGGCGCTAACGAAACGTTAAAGTATAAGTCATTTAGAAAATATAATGAAAAAATAATAAAAGTATAATTACTAAAAAAAAATGTGAAATATCGACGACCGTCAGTTATATATGATATTGACAAAGCTTTATAAAACGTTAAAATATTGTTTGCGATTATTGGAGGGGTCGTCGATAAAAACATTATCAGCATCATTCGGATGTTGTGCAATCCATCATCATGTCATCGTCAACACCGCCGCAGTTGCCGATGTTGACCATCAAGTGCTGCTCCGACAGTTTGGCCACCTTGCGCGGCATCCGCTGTTCGTCCATTTCCTCGTCGCCGATGTCGGCGAATATACGGCGGCGGAAGGCCCCGGGAACGGGTTGGCGCAAGAGTTCATTGGCGGCGACAGATTCAGGGCTGGTGGCGGAGTCAGTGTCGGAGTTGGAGGCGGGCGGGGAGCTGAGGTTTAATGCGGGTAAAGCGTGAGAAGTGGACGCTACACAGTATAGACATGTATTGGTGGCGTCGCGGACCGGTGAGGAGGAGTAGGTGGCGGTGTTGGTGGAGGCGGAGGCGTATGTGGCGGAGTAGGAGGGGTCCCGTCCAGTGGAAAGTATAGGGGCCACGCGGGGGGTTGCGGGCGCGGTTCCGGCTGAATTTGCGGTGCTGAAGAAGTTGGCGGCGGTAGTTGCGGCTGCAGCGCTGGAGAACTTGTCGGCGGTGGGGTTGGGGAGTTGGAAGGAAGAGATGTTGACCGCGCGGTTTCCGGGCATGTTGACGTTTTCGAACGGGAATCCGATGGCCGGTAGAGAGACTGAAGGCTGGGCCGCGATGGTGGGGGCGATTCTGGCGATTGGCGGGTTGTTTGGCAGTGGTTCATCACCTCGTTGAGCGGCGAAATAACCCTCGAGCGCGTCCAATCTATCCTGTAGTGTCGCCAGTGGCGCGTAGGGTATAATTGGTGGAGCACCTTCGGTCGATGGATTGCGAGGATCGGGCGTGCTTGCCGATTCCGCCTTTTCTTCGGGCAACTGATCGTTCCTCATGTACGAAACGAGACGGGGCAGCTGTCAAACTGCAACACAAACGACAAAGCAGATCGTTATAACTTATAATATATGGATAGTTAGGTTGGTACCAGAGCTGAAGTGGATTAAGAAACCTGGGTGGGGGGGGGGGGGGGGGGTTCTTTCAAGGCTCCCATTGTTTTTGACCACTCGTCATTAACTTTATCAGGTCTCAGGTAACTGCAGTTAGTCGAGTAGTCCCAAATTTATGGAACCCCGTAAAAATGTAGGGCCCGGGGGGAGTTTCCTCATCCCTCTCGGTAGGACAGACGACAGGTATTGTAATTATTAGGCAAAACTATACAAAGGGTATGGTGGTACGTGCGGCCAAGACTACCCTTTTCGACCGAAATCGTCGAAACCGGCTTTCAACCCTTTCGACCCAACCTAAAAATTTGATATTTACTTTATAATGCTATGTTATGCATACGGAACATGGAAAGTATATTATATCAAGGGTATTGCAAACGGTCTGTGTGGACATTTCAACCGAAATGTTAATAAATATTCTGTATATAGATTAGTAATACGATTATGACATTGAAAAGTTATTTGAATTTAGTAATTTACGTGTATGTCTAAACTAATAGCTGATAAGCTAACTTTTTTGAATTTCTGTTTCTCAACACTCACACGTTTTGAACGAATATTGAAAATTATGAGTATTCGAAATTAAAATTAAATATCTTAAAATGCGGTCTAGTCGACCTCAAGTAGGCAATATTATTAACTAATTTAAATCAGCTTTCGGAAGTCTTATTGCGTTATCAGTCCCATCGATGTACGATTGACAAAAAGTATACATATTACATTGTTCACCGTTCACCGTTCACGCTCTCAACGCCGAGGTGGTGACTTTTAAGTGCGAGACGCGATGTCTTGAGCTAAAATGGTTTTTAAAATTTTGATTCCAATATCAGATATTTATTTAATCGAAAATGCCGGCTTTCGCTTATTATCGAAAATACCATACTTGTTTAAATACCGAATACACAGTAGGTACCTCGGTATTTTGTATTTTCACTGAATTAACAAGTGTTACAACCCAGGAAAATTATACATCTGTTTTAATAATTATGTTGCTATTTATCGTACACGGAACTGTCTTCAGAAACAAAAAAAAATCATTGTAAACATAATTTAAAATCTATAAATTTTTCGCTACGTTTGGAATCTAAAATGTTTGTATTTCATGTCGAATATGATTTTTATTTTATTAGGTTGGCAATTAAAATTGTTATGTTAAAGTGTATATAGACATCGTCGTAATTTGCATATGGAATACTATATTGCATTTAAATTTAAATATGGTATCATAATAATTTTTTCTATGTACCTAATCATATTTAATTAGCTGGCCACTTATTAAAAAAAAAGTTAGCGATGTTTTTAAATGTATACTTTAATATTATAATTTATAGTAATGCCATTAATACAAAAACCAGTTAGGTCAAAATATAATAATATTATAATATATTTAACGCGGCCGAGATCATTAGTATACCTGAAAAATAAAATAATTATAGAAGATAAGAGAGAACATTTCATAGGTACCACATAATATAATTATATTTTATTGAACACGAGTACTAAAGCTTGTAATTTCGAAACAATATAAGCAAAACTGAGTATTATTGATCAATTACAACCGTATTTTCGATGAATATTATTATACGAATTATCGGCCAGGATAAAATTTTTATACGAATTGTCTGTTTTGACGAACTGCCTGGATGTCGTAGTCGCGTACTACTAACCAAACACCAGTAAAATTATTATAATTTATATCAAACGACAAACCGTCGACGCGTCTGTCGAAATCATTTTATTATATTTATAAATTATAATATTCTGTAGGTTACAACAAACGAGAACAATCAATAATAATAATCAGACAATATAATATTAATAGTACATAGACAAAAGCAGGATAATAATATCATTATATAAGTGATAACAATAAACGTTGATGAGCTCTGACATCACGTCACATTATTACGCTGTCAAATTATATTATCTATCATATGTTTATGTGTCATATTTACAATAAGCTCTTCCAATAATCTCCCGCGGTTTGGCTACCATCATAAACCGTTTAAATTAAATATTATACTTTATAACTGTTTACAGCCACCGACACAATGACCGAATGGTCGACGCCGAATGTGTGTAAAGAGTTGCCTATAAAATGTTTCTTATAATCTATAATGTTTTAGTCACGACGAGGCCCCATAAGTAGGAATTGTTTAATAATTTTATTATCCAATAAATGGTTCGGTAATAATAAAGTATTAAACACTTTTAAACGAGTGTTCTTTTCCCTTTTGGACAGGAATGGCCACACATAGGCAAAACTAAACATTCATTACCAAGCGTACTGTAGCAGGGGAGGTTCTATTTATATAATACATATTAAATAGATCAAAGTTTAACCAAAATGGAGGAAGGAGATTAAAACATTTTATCAAGACTCTCAGTACGAAGTTGATGTTTTATATTAATAATATCCATTATTTATTTTATTTAATGATAATTTTACAATTCTATGGTAGATATACTTAGGTAAGAAGTAGGTACAATTATTAATTAATACATAGACAAATGACAAAAATACTTGGTCAAAATACCAAGGTATGGGGGGAGGGGATCATCAATCAATCGCCTCCCCGCTCCCCAGTTTGGGTTGTGGCCAAAAGCGCAAAAAAAATTCATCTTTTTCGAAATATAACTAGAACTATAATTTTCATAAATCACATTTCATGTAAGTTAATACTGTTTATGCTGTACTATAAAGTTATTTAAAATGATTATGAACTTATAAATAATAAATATGAACCGAACTCGATCGCTATTGTTTTTGAAAAAGAAAAATACACTATATTGAAGTAATAAATATTATTATAATGACGGTATATTTTTAAACTAAAACAAAATAAACGATTTGTGTTGATGGGGATCACCGTTTATACGTCCTGTCGTATGATGACTATAATTTTATAGAAGTCCAATGGTTTGTGGCTACAAAACTAGCAAATTCAATTCCGGTTGGCTACAGGTAGCAGTGATCTCATTAATACCAACAATCTCATTAGCAGACACGTGACCCATCATGTGTTTCGGTAGAAGAACCTAATCAATATAATACAATAAAGCCATATATAGGTACTGTTGTATGAGTGAAAAACGACCAATTTGTTCAGTACATGTAGGTTCTTATACTTTTGTGATGTTAATTTTATTTGCATCGTACAAAATTGTGAACAAAATACATTTTAACCTTGCACGTATAAATATATTTTTTTTAATAAGGTAACCCACCGCCGCCCGTTGAGAATTCCACAGAGCTGCATTATTATAAAGTCATTATATTTACCACTCATTAGTATTTAGTACTATCGTTAGTATCATTATTTCTACGCGTTATAACTTCTATGCGTTACACACAGATGACAGCAGATGTAACGCTGCAGACATGTATTTAGGTATGTATACCATCAGAGGCGTGTTAAGTATATTGGTAAATGGGAAGGGGGTAGGATGTATCGAATAAAGGCTAAAGAATACACGAAAAATAGGAGTTTAAAGAAAAGTATTATTAATTACCAATATATGTTTATACCGACGTCTCGAATTTACGATTAGTGTTTTTAAATATAACTAAGCGAAAAAAGGCCGAAAGTAAAATAGATTAGACTAAAGCCGATGTTATTCATACTCGCGTTCGTATTTAACCTTGGCGTACATTCAATTCCCAGAGTGATAAAATCAGGAATTGTTTGAAAAGCGATAACATCGATGGATCATTAAAATATGTAGGTATAGGTAAGCAATTATAATATATATCGGGGAAACAGGGAAATGACCACCGAGGACAAACTTCACCTCACAAACTGCTTAGGCATAAAATATGTACAGTCGTATAGATATATTTAAAATTTAAATGAAGATAGCGACGAGAACGAATAGTGAAGGAGAGCGGGGTCTGTGGCCCGTCGTAAGGTTGTAGAAATGTAGTAATTTGTTATATGGTGGCCAATCGGCCGTTTGGTTTTGTCATTGGTAGAAAATATATTATAAATAATTCAATAATATAATGTATACTTGGACTCTATATAGAGAAGATGCTATAATTTTATTCAAAAATACAGGTTTTGATTAATGCACTAAGAAATGTGAACCCAAAAACATTTCCCATGCACTCGCTCAATGCACTGTAGTTAGTTGGGATTAATATATAATAATATGTAAATGTTAATTCCGTTTGCGTTTATATTAAGCTAGTATATATTTTGTACACGAACTACGATCGGTAACACATTTTTGACATTATAAACGTTATATTTTACATTATTCATTTATTTTATATACAAGGTCCCAATATATATATTTTTTGTTTTATAATTAATAATAATATATGATAAATTATGTTTTTTTAATCCATTCTACAGCTTATTTCGAACAGTAAGATAAACAACAATAATGATATAATAAGTTGGTAAGAAATTTCTGAGCCTCGTGTAGGTAATTAAAGCTGTGTTTAAAGAAAATAATCTTGCCTTATGCAATTCAAAATATAACAAAACAATATAATTTATCGTAGTTTTTTTTTCGACATCATGTTTTATCACAACAAACATTCGGTATACGAATGATTTAATTGGTGTCATTATATTATAAACTACGATTAAAATTTAATAAAATATAATGCCATCATTTCAATATCCATATCATACTATGATTGATGACATTGATTACATATTATTGAATTATAAAAACCAGTTGGCCAATGAATAAATATTAAAATAGTTTTATACTTGATTACAAAATAATTTATAAATGACACGTGCCAAAGCAAGTGGTGTCATATAATCCCGAACCCTCCCCGCCCTTTGTAAACGCCACTCACAAGATCGGCAAGAAACCCAGACCGTTATGCAAAAGACTCAAATTAAAATAAATTAATTACATAAATAATATAATAACTTTATCCTCTGTCCAATGTTACTCGATACTTCAACAGCATACGTCATCTCCTCAATACGATCAAACAACATCATCGGAGGTGAGCCTCTCTTAAAATAGGTATTTAAGTTTTTTTAAAGACCCCGATAGAAAAAAAAAATTCTATTTAAGCCCCGTTAACAATATTATGTGTTAATGTTTGATAAAACTGTATGGCTAACGCATGTACCTCCAAAACGTAATAATAACAATAATAATAATAAAAGTAATAATAATGATAATAGTTATAAGAAAAAAATCCCTTATTGCCTTATACATTATTTTAAACGGATAATATCGAATTCATTCGTACACGTAGTAATATAATCTATTATCGTTCTATAATCAAACAGTGACATTATTATAATATTGTTTCGCGTCAAAATACTTACTAATGCCAATGGCTGCCGGACGGCGCGAAACGAAAATCTGTTGCAATGGTTGGCAACAGCGGTGACGTCGACAGAGTGTTTCAGGTGCCGGTGATCGCTGGTCGTCGCCGGAGCAAGTAAGGACAGGTCCCTTCGTCGCACCGTCGAAGACTGAAGAGCCTCGGCGCGGAATGCTCCTGAAATGCCAAATGCCGATGCACGCGGTGCACGCGTCGGGTTTCTGAAACTCGGCGCGTACTTGCGTCTGTGCGCGCGCATCTCAGGCGTACGCACAACCGTCGTGCGTGTGGGTGCGTGTGGGTACGGACTCGCGTGCGCTGGCGCGTGTGCGTGCGCGCGCGCGCGCCGGTTGCGCTGGTTCGGTCCGGGACGACGCACGCCGCCGGGAAGAACGACCGTCGAACAGCCATTATAGATAATATTGTTATTGCTTACGAGGATGAGACGTACGGTCGACCGTATTCCGGTGCGGTCGAAGAGCGCAATAATGATATCATAATAGCTACCAAAGTGGTTACCTACGCCTGCCCATTAAGGTGTGGTATCACCGCGGACCGCGAGTCGTAACCACGGTATACGGACACGGTAATATTATTTCATACACCATATTTTTTGCTTGTACATTTCGATAATAATTTTGAAACACCGACAAAACAGTGCGTAATTACAATATCAGCCAATATCACTGGCATAGGTGTTATGTCTGTGTGGTATACTATACACTATTATTATCTATCTCAGTGGTCGATAATATTGGTATAAAAATGGACCATCATGTATTGAAATTATTAGTTATTCGGCTCAAGATTCGACTGATATCGGAATGACAAAAAATTGTTTTTGTCGCATGACCCGTCTGTAACCGTTAAGGTGACCAGAGGAATTTTATTTCTACAGAGGAAAACGTTTTTCCAACGTTCGAAACGTTTGTAAGATTATTGAAATTCGCAAGCACTTGCAGGCGCGGTATGTAAATAAATTATCCTTGGTATACAAAAAGTCATAAAATATAATTATATGCCATTGGAAAAAATAGCATAGACGAACTCGACCACGGTATAGGCCATTGGAATTGAATTCGACAAGACTGGCGTTTACCGCTATAGCATTTCCCCCTGGCAGACTTTTCGATCACAGAATATACCATGTAGGTATATCAGGTATATGGTTGGCCGTAACCAGATTTCGTCGCGACGTCGTTTCAAAGGAATAATAATAATAATTGTAATCGCCGTTCGTCAATATTGCGCTGATTTTTCTATAGATTTCCTGCAGATGTTCAATTTCGCCAGGAAAATAATTACGAAACTATAAAAATATATCTTTCTATAGTGTTTTTAGATATTTTATTTCTATCGAATATACACAAAACGTGTTTAAGTCAAAAGTCAACTAAATTGTAAAATAGAATTAAAATTATAAATTACTTTTTTTGACATTTTTCCCACACGATATAACACTATAACAGTATGTCATGTTCATGTGTAGGTATAAATGCGTTCTAAATTGTCTTATAACGAAAAATTGGCAATAATAAGTGTTGAAAACATCGAATCCAAAATCTATAAGATATACCTCGTGATGAATTACGTAAAGTTAGGGTTCGTTATTAAATTGTTTCATTTTTTGTAGTGGTCACGTCTTACTAACATCACAAATTCGAACGTACATTGCTGCAGATGACGCCGTTTTTATTGCTCGAAATAAGAGAATATTAACTTCAGCTTTTGTTTTGTGTTTTTATGCTTAAAATGTTGTATGTTGTTTTTGTTTTTAATAATATTAATATTTTAATATATGTTTGCGAGTTTAGAGAAGTATCAAGATTTAAAAAAAAAAAAATAGTTTTTTATTAATTATAATCATTTATGAAAATAAATTTTTCAGCTTATTTTTTCTAGTTTTTGTTTTTGTGTTAGTTTAAGTACTATTTGTGGTTCTTATATTGTGTATTTTGCGTAATTACTTGAAAAAATATTAGAATTCAAATAAGTTTAAAAACACGCTGATGTAAGTGTCACAAATTTAGTGTACGATTGGTGTAGAAACATGGGCGACGGGCGTGTCTAAAAGTTATTCGCAGATTTGGCTAACAACATTTCATAGAGTCAGCCCCCATAAAAAAAACCTAAAATATTTTTTTAGATTGTTGTCTACACAACGCGTACAAGTGTCATATCTCCGTGAAAAAATGCTTTAGGTTCATGCTGATTCCTGAACTCTTTTTAAGATGTCATTATATAGTACATTTTTGGCCAATTACCTATAAGCGTTGACATTAATAGATTTTTAGTATCCTGAAACGGAGGCACACAATATCCAAAAACTTTATCATTCATTACAGCCATATTTTAACAGAAAAATGGCAGAAAAATATAGTGTCGTAACACGGAAAAAATATTTAAAAAAACTATACGGCGTATTTAATTCGAAAACCAATACATCAGAACAGCATATTAAAATATTACATCCTAAACGTATTTTCTAACAATTTTTTTTTCAGCTTTATCGTTTTCGGGAGTTTAATTTATAATAATACATCATCAGAATCGCGTATTTGGTCCAAATAATTATATTATGATACTAAATAGTAAATAGTAAATACTATTAATAAAATGGTCAATATCATCACAACAAAAAGTAGTTCATGATAGGTACTAATAGTTTAATTTAAGCTGACGGACAGAATCAGTTCAGCCTTAACTTGGAATCGTTTTTCGTAGTTTCGGACACTCCGATTATTTTGACGTACACAATAAACGAACAAGTAATATTATATAAGCACATTTAATGAACACCGTTGTCTATGGTGGTAATCGAGTGACACGATCACCAACCACTGACTCCACATTTGTCTATAGGATACTATGATTTATATATTATTATAGCTTAACCTAGTTTTTGTTTTTTTGCATCTGCTAAAACGTATTGTCTAAGACTCAACACTAAATATTGTTACATACATGTTTACTTAAACTATAGTTAATATTTTTAATATTGATAATTTGTGTATTTATTGCACAATGCAACAATAAATATGCATTGTAGGGTTTTTTCACATTGAATTCAAAACTCAAATTTATCTATTTAAGACTTGGCGATTGGAAATAACGCGTTCCTCGGTTTCATTCATGTTTAGAGAGCTTCAATCATTTCTTATATATTATATTTTCTAGACTTTAGAGCGAGAACGTGAACGAAATTTCATACTGTTATAAATGTTGAACTTTTTACAGGCCGTTATTTTATTTTATAATTTATTTTTTATTTTTTATTCTATCCAATTAATTTAACATAATGTAAATCTTGTATCTGCAGACAAATTAAAAATTTAAAAAAAATCATATGATACTTTTTTATCGTGTTGTTTTTCATAATTTGTTGTATTTATTTTATTGACTATAGTACACTGAGTGCTGTGTCTCTCATTTCTATGCATAGTAATTCACTTTAAACAAATAATTAAATTAACGACACAATGAACCCGGATGTGTTCCTTAAAAAAGATAATCACCGAGGACGAAAATTATGTTAAAATTATAAAAACATATCTAAATAATGAACGATCAATATTCAATTTCAGTGGTTTCTTAAACACGTTTATCTTTATACCGATAAAAATGCATACGATAGATAATATTATATCCCACCAACAGCATTTGTCCTATAGATATAACTAAATATGTAATTTGAATAATAAAACTTATCTATTAATAAAACGATGATTGTAAGCAATTATAAGTGCTTTTTGTCTGTCACTTATGCCCTAAATGTCGCATTGTGGCAACGTATGCTTGGACGATAATATACGGTATATCACATTATTATAATCGTAATCGACGTATTGTCCATTTACGGGCAATTTTTGAGCACAGTTGTAATAAAGCATTTGCGTGACGAATAAAATAATTTTTTTTTGGTTGAAATCATCAAATCAATCATCATTGTAAAAACACATTTCAAAAACTATTCTCGTAGATGGTTTCTTAATATTTTTTAAAAAGAACCAACCCTAATCATCAAAATACATTTTTTGGATATTTGTGTACTTATAAATATGTAATTTCCATTTCAAGATAATTATTATACAACACACATTTAATTTTGTTTTTTATATTGCCATACTATTTAGTTAGGTAACTTATACATAAATACAAGTACATGCATGATCTTAATTTTTAATTAATTCACCATCAGTATTAAAATAAAATGGCTTTCGTGTACCTACTATATAAAATGTATTTAAAAACAATTATACATCACGTTTACTTTGTTATTTGAAGCTTCCCAGTTTTTATTTCATTTTTATGATCACCCTATGGCATAGGTGAGTAGGTGATATAAACTAGCTCTGAACCACCAAGTAAAACCATCTCATTAATCAAAATTAAATATTTTTGTCGTTTTTTTGTAACTTTTAAATAAACAACGTTGTTCAAATATATCACGTTTATTATTTTTTTTTTCAATGGTAGTTTGAGTTTTTTTTAAACTCAGCTACCGTCCTCTCCTTTTTTTCTTATAGGGGTGTGGCAGTCTTAAAAATATTGAGAACTACTGCCCTATGCTTTATAATAGTATTGTTCAAATATGAAATATTCACTGTCGTCATAAATCGCAACAATACTGTTAATCCTCCGAAGTTTAGGTACTCGTTCATATTTTGAATATAATTATTCATGAATATTTAAAAAAAAAAGGTTGGCGAGAATTACCAGGTAAGTAGGTATTAAAGTCATTCGTTTTCGATTTATTACAAAATTAATAAAATCAATTTTGAAATCGAATACTGATGATATAATATTTTACTGCAGTTTTTCTCGATTATTCTGATTTTTAAAATCGAATTCGAATATAACGTATAACCTATAACTTATATAATACACAAACTAAATTAAACTGGTTACCTAAATGTATTTGAATACTTCCTATCAAATTGTCTTGAGACAATATTTAGACTGAACAATACCCTCAAAAATATTGCTATCTACAATTGTTGTAATGAGTAATTTGACTTAAGTCCGACCAATACCGATAGACCAAATATAAAGAATTTAATAAGTGATAATATCTAATAACAATAATCAGGGCCCGAATTCGTATGCAAAATTATTGTTAAGTATGCACATATTTATGCACTCCAAAATTAAAAAATATGCAAAAAAAAATATTAAAAAATA